AACCCTTTTGTGAAAAGAATTTTGATAAAATTCTGTTTACTCTTTTATAAATTAAATTGTTTATTTTGATTAATTCTTGCTTTCATGGTTAATTGTTTATTATGTCCTTATTTCATGATATTAATGATTAATCATTATTAATACATGTGTGTAATTTATATTGCTTTTGAAAGATTTGGTGTAAATTAGTACATAGTAACAAATAACATAGGAATTAAAATAGTTGGACATTACAATAATTGTTGGGTTTTATTATACGTATATTTTTTGAGTGCATTCAAACTTGAATATTTATAAAAAGTTCGTGATATTTATACTTTACATGTAATTATTTTTGATATTTCATTGTAAATTTGAAAATAATTAAAGAAAAATAAAATTAGAATTGATATATTGATTCAACTAATGACCCGATGATTGAACCAGTGATTCAATAAAATACTATATTGTTTGAATGAATTTTCGTATTGTTTTTTTTTAAATTGTTTCTGTCCCCCTTCAATGACCTATTGGTGTGCGATGTTCAATACCAAGCTCAAACTCTTAATTTAATTAAGAAAAAGAATAGTCTTTCAATAGGGTTTAGAATATCTTGAGTATTAAGTAAAAGCCACCAATGAATGAACATCACATTTATTCCAAATTTCAATTTGAAGATTTATTTGAACTCTGCAAGCTAAGAATATTCATGTCCAGTTACGATTTTCTCTTTTTTCTGCAAATTAATATTTCTTACCCCTCCATATATTCTTGAGTTTAATGCAAGAAATATCCTCACAAAATCCTCATATGTTCATCTGAATAAAATAACTTGATTACCCATAACAAGTCCTGCACAAATACTCGGCTGCTCCGCCATGGCTCCTCCACCGCCACCACCACCAGCAAACTGACCCCGCCACTCACCGCTAGTACGATGCACTGCTATGGTGTTTCTCACCCTCGTCGTCGTTGTTGGTCTAGCCGTGCTGATTGCTTGGGTATCAGTTAATCCCAAAAAACTCAAATACTCCATTGAACAAGGCTCAATTTCAGATTACAACTTAACCAGCTACGGCCACCTCACTGCTAATTTCCATTTCGTATTACGTGCTAACAATCCCAACAAAAGGGTTTCGATATACTACGACAAGATTGAGGTTACAGTGTCGTACAAGGATCAGAAGCTGTCGATCAACAATGTCCCTCCCTTTTATCAGCGACGACGTAACGTGACGTACCTCGACTTGGATCTTGCGGCGAGAGACGTGTCACTTTACGGAGCGGTGGCAAGGGATCTAAAAATGAAGAAATATTCAGGGAATGTGGATTTGGATGTTAAAATAAGAAGCAAAATCAGGCAGAAAGTGGGAGTTTTTAAAATTCATCGCCATTTGAAGATCGAATGTGGGCCTTTGACAGTTCCATTTTCTTCATCAAAGGGTGAGTTTGAGAGGGTTTTCTGTGATGTTGATCTATAAATTTGTTCT